TTAGAGCAATGCTCTTGGTTATTGCTCTCCGGACTTTCAAAACTTATGTACGTGCTTGGCTCTGCGTCCTGTGATCAGTCCCATTTAATTCGGTGAAGCTACTGAGTTTACAGTTAAGTGTGTGTTTATCTCTTTGTAGGATGAAAAGCTAGTAAGGCTCTTTTAGTTAAGGTTTTTGAAAGATAGGAGAATGGAGCTTGGCATGCTGAATGCAAAAAAAATATTTTTCTCAAAAATTTTGCCAGTGTATGCTCGTGAGAAAATTGCAGAAAGACCTTTTTAGAGTGCCTGTGGAAGTTTTGTGTATGTGATACATATTCCTTATATTGCTGGAGGCTGTATCTTCTAATGAATTTAAAGGAGACAAAGCTATACGACAGAAGTGAATATTTGGAGGAAGCAGCTTCTTTGTGTAACTCCTTTAATCCAGAATACCACTGAAATACAAAACTCCAATTAATCTTTTTTCTCCCCTTCCATTCTTCTTAATTTGATAGTAAAGATACAGAGTTCATCTTGATCTATCCTCTTCAAGCCCTTTTACAGATATGTTATTTTTTCACTTTACTACATTCTCCATAGTGGCATCAGGCACGTGGGAGAGGGAAGAGATGTTAAGGGTCAATGGTGGTATAAACCCATGGCATTTAAATATCTGAAAGCATGTATACTTTTCTGTCAGACCAGCTATTCCTACCATTATCAAGCCTTTTAACTAAAAATACTGTTTTGAAGGATTCCACAGAGCAGCTGTAGGCCACCTATGCTGTTGCAAAGCTAGCAGTGTTTTGTGGGCACAGCTTGGAGACCACTGTTTTAGATTTTGAATGCACAAATTCCAGACTCGATTCTGCCGGAAACTGTCAGTCATTTATACCTGCCTATATAACTTTTCTGAATAAGCAATAATGAATGTTAATTGTGGGAGTCAAACAGCTTTTTTTTTTTCATGTAAATGCAGGTATGTTAACTGTTACATGTAGAATTAAATGCACAGCTTTTATGTTCATTCAATATCTCTTCATTTTTAGGCATTACCCAATTGGTTTGCTGTTTGATCTCCATGCATCAAATACAGCCCTTCCTTGGAGCATCACAGTGCATTTCAAGGTAAAATTGAAATACATCTTTAGTTAAGAACAAGTGAGCGTGGGATTACATGAAATTTGGAAGCTAGGAAAAGGCTTCATAATTATTTTATAAATAAGTGAATGGTATGACGTAAAGGGGAGAATGTTCATTCTTCAGGAATCATCTAAAGTTTTCTGTAAATCTATAGCTCTTTTCCATGAGATTGTATGTGCTTTCAAATGACTTTCCCTTGAAAATGATTCTATTATAATCTGAAAATCCAAAATTGTTGTTCAAGATAAGTTATGAGACTATGTCAGTGCAATTGAGTGGATATAAGGGAAGAGCTTTCTATAATGTTTTTAATTCAGTTGGCTTGAGTTGACTGAAGGTTGGGAAGATTGAGAAGTGCTCGTCCTTTTAGGCACATGAGCATGGATATGAGATACTGTAAAAATCCTTGAAGTCAGGGAATGCCGTTGTACTTCATGTGGGTCCCCTTTAGAGAACTGAGTGAAGTGAGTTTGGTCTTGTGACAGCTTAGTCACAGGAGAGATGTTATTTTCATTACACACTGTAAAACCATTAGGTATGACTTCATAGTGCTACTGATCTTTGCTCAGAAGAGTACTTGCGCAGGGTTAGCTTTGGTGCAGGATTCTTTCATGCTCTGAAATGCATTGAGACGATAATCCCAGGTATGTTTTGAAGTCAAAATCAGAACTAGGAATTGTGGTATTTAACTTTGAAACTTTAATTTCTCCATTGTAAAAGAAACAATGCAATAAGAAAACTATTCCAAAGGAAAATGCTAGGTTAATAGGCTTGACTTTAGTGTGTGAGATTTGAGATGAAAAGCATTTTGGGAAGCAGTTGCATTCAAACAGTTCTTCTCTTGAAGATGTAAAGGCCTTGCTAACAGGAGTAGTCTGATTCTTTTTGGAAGTGTGCACTGAAATCATACATTCTTATGATATCTATTTCCACATGTTGAAACTTTTAAAATGACTGACTGAATGAATCTGAAGTTGGGGATGTTTTTGACACCATTGTAATTGCTACACTTCTGTCTGATACGTGTCAGAGAGAGCTGGGGTGAAGAAACTTCCAGAGTGTTTTGAAGAAACTGTAGGGCGTCTAGTTTCATAAATCATGATTTAATCGTTACACGTTCTGAGAGCTCTGGGAGATTAACAGTGGCAGTGTGTGGATGTTGCCATCCTGAAATAGAGCCATCTTGAGAAATAAGTTGCAGCACCACAGTGCTTTTCAGTTTCAGGTAGTAATGTCCTTATATTGCTGCTTGCCAAAAGATCAGCTAATTTAAGTTTGTCTCAAAGGTGTACATTAAAGATCAGCAGAAACAATTTACTGCTAAGGCAGTATTATTTTAAAAGCTGATGTAATTTAATTTTTAAAAATATTACACCTTGGATTAAGCACCTGCTTAATCTCTCTTCCTGTTTTCGATGTAATCTGAAAGTTTATTTAAATAAACCCCTCTTAATCCTTAAAGTCAAAACGTAACTGAAAAACATATACTCAAAGTATATCAAAATATTGAAGACATTTTCATGTGTTAGTTTCTTACAGCTAAATAGTTTAGGTGCGGGATTCCTGCCTGGATTATTCTTTTCATTTGTGTGTAGTTATTCTTCAAAGAGCCATATTATTTGGCTTAATTGAACAGTATTAGATTTTTCTGGGGTTTAACTTTTGCTGTTATGGCTTTCTCCTTTCTTTTACCAAAGCGTGCAGTCAACAACAGAAATCTCAAGAACATCTGTAAAGAGTGATTTTTAACTTCCCCCCCGTCAGTTTTCTTTGTTTAAAGTTAAAAACATGAAAAAAGTTTATTTCTGTTCAGCAGAAGTTTGAAAGTTGACAGATACTTGTAATTGTTCTCCTGTTATAGATGCAGACCAAATAATAAATACGCTTACTGTTTGCATTGAAGAAACAGTTTATTCATTTATACTTCTGGTATGCAATAAAATAACATGTATTTATATCTCTAGTAAAGTTGAAATACACTTGCCTTAAATAGTCATAGAAGGATGAGCTTGAACAGAGCACTAAGGTCTGAGAATCATGAGAAGCCATAGTCTGGGAAGTTGCTTTTGTTACTGTCGTGGTTTAACCTCAGTTGGCAGCTAAGCACCACGCAGCCGCTCGCTCACTCCCCCCCACCCGGTGGGATGGGGGAGAGAATTGGAAGAGCACAAGTGAGAAAAACTCGTGCGTTGATATAAAAACAGTTTAATAATTGAAATAAAACGATAATAATAATATGATGATAATACACAAAGCAAGTGATGCACAGTACAATTGCTCACCACCCGCCGACTGATGCCCAGCCAGTCCCCGAGCAGCGGCCCTCCCGGCCAGCTTTCCCAGTTTATGTACTGAGCATGACGTCACATTGTATGGAATGTTTCTTTGGCCAGTTTGGCTGTGCCCCCTCCCAGCTTCTTGTGCACCTCCAGCCTTCTCAGTCGGTAGAACATGGAAAACTAAAAAGTCTTTGGCTAGTGTAAGCATTACCTAGCAACAACTAAAACATCAGTGCGTTACCAACTTTGTTCCCATCCTAAATCCAAAACACAGCATTGTACCAGCTACTAGGAAGGAAATTAACTCTATCCCTGCCGAAACCAGGACAGTTACCCAGGTGTGGCTTTATGGGGAGGAGGGAAACTCTATCCTTTCGCAGTAAACTCATCTCACACTACTCTGTGGCATGCTTAGCACTATTCGTCTTCTCAGCATGGTAACCAACTCTCCAGATTTGGGGCAGTAGATATGAGGTGGTGAACTGCTCTGGAAATGGTAGCAGGAGAGGAAATCGGGGTGTGCCAGGGGAAAGGCCAGTGTTCTCCTTCTGCTGAAGCCCTTATCTGCTGGTGCCTGCCTTTCCACCCATGACCTGATGTAGAGGAGGAGAGACTGCATCTGTTTTAGTATAACAACAGCTGTCGTCTTGGTTTTCTTAGCTCAAAATCAGGTCAGGTGGAGTGCAAAGGAAGTACTTTTCCATGTAGCATATGGATAAATTGTGGAACTGCTAGGAGACATTATGGAAGCCAGAAGTATAAATGAGGGGTTTTTAAAATTAATCTTTGTTGAAAAAAAGACCACTGATGGTAACTAAACACAAATACATCGTTGCTCCCCCTGTCACTGGATATGTTCCTTACGGTTTCTAATGCCATATCATTGGTGTAATTTTCTGCAAACGTGGCCTAATGCAACTAGACTGTCACAGTATAAACAGATGTTTTGTGAACTAGAACTAATAGATTAGGAATGGGTGGAATGGAGTTATGAAGCCAGACTGCTGAAATTACTTGCGATATTTTTTCAAAGTTTTACGTGAGGGGTCATTTAGTGCTCCTGTCTGTACAGATGATACCTGCTTGTTTATGACCAAGTTTGTGCTGCAAGTGTCTACCGGTAGAATCATAGAATCATTAAGGTTGGAAAAGACCTCTAAGATCATCGAGTCCAACCGTCAACCCAACACCACCATGCCCACTAAACCATGTCCCTAAGCGCCTCATCTACCCGTTTTTTAAATACTTCCAGGGATGGTGACTCAACCACTTCCC